AGCCTGGAGCCTGCTTCCGATTCTGTGTCTCCCTCTCTCTCTGCCCCTCCCCCGTTCATGCTCTGTCTCTCTCTCTGTCTCAGAAATAAATAAATGTTAAAAAAAAAAAAATCAAATAGCTAATAAAGTGTAGAGCTGGGAAAACACTGTGCCTATTTGAGAGGCAGGAACAAAAATCACATCAGTACTTTGCTGCATGCAGTTTCGTACTTGATTAATCGGAAATAATAATCATTTGAAATATATTAAGGCAGGAAATATTTACTTTTTCTTTTAATCACACTGTGTTTTAAAATCTGACTACTCTCAGCCTAATAACTGAAATTTAAATGTAATAAACAAAGAGAGCTAATAGTTGAAGCCACGGTCATGGATGTTTCTGACATAATGATTTGTCCATGTTCCCTACAGGTTTCTTTAGAATAAAAATCAGCAGCCCTTACACAATAGTGATAAGAAAACTAGATTCTCATTGTCCATCATGATGCTCCTAAGCTGATCTGGTTAGGGCAGCCAGAAGGTTGAGGTTGGAAAGGATGTGATCTCATCCTTCTGATGTCAATATGTACTGATAAGAGAAAATAGGGATATTCAGATTTGAGCTGTGAAACGGGGCTCTTGTGTAAGCAGCATCCTATCTCGTGGTATGTTTATCAGACTCGCTCTTGCCTGCCTAGGAGAGAACCTTTGCACTTTCCTGCCTTGGGAAGATAGGCCAGGCAACCCTGGTTCTAATCTCCTTGTGAAGTCCTCAGTCCGGGAGTCGGGGCTTGCCCATCCATGGCTCACTGGTGGCCATGGAGACTTGACTGAGGCCAGCAGGAGAGGAGCTGGCTGGGAGATGCAGGGGTTTCTGGCTCAGCAGAAAGAAGGCAGGGAGGCTACCAACACCTGCCTCGTGTGCCAGGGGACTTGGAGATCGCTGGTCAGGGCTTCTTAATGCACCAGAAGATCCTGGTCAGGCCACTGGCAGTTCTTTGGAACAACAGGCCCTACTTCAGGGTTTCTCAACTTTCTTTTCTTTAAAAGGAGCCTTTTAAGATTTTTTTTTTTCCTATTTGTCATCTCCCCCTGTGAAATTTTAGTACCACAGATACTCTCTCTTTCTAGATAGATACGTTTCCATACTGTGCCTTTGGAGAACCACATATCATTGTACTATGTCAAAAAAATTTTTCACCACAACCCCTCCCCACCATGCAAGCAGGAATTTCCCCCCTGTCGGGAGATACTGCCCCAGTTGAGAATGCACGCCCCGAATGGAGTGAAGGGTCTAGGCGGGCCTCTCTCTTTCTGTTCACACCTTGAGTGGTGAGGGCAGTCACATAGGGAAGATGGATTAGGTGACCCAGCGTCCGTCACTAAGCAGGATGGGCCCCGACTGCAGACTCCAGCACAGCCAGAGGAACATACTCCAGGGTGGTCCCTGCACCGTCTGTTCGGCCTGCCTGCCATCCTCCAGGCTCTGCCGCCACCTCCCCCTCCCGGGCAGCAGCCCTCGGCCCAGTGGCTGGCTCGGCCGTGAGGGAAAACACGGCCCTCCCTCAGAGTGGCAGTGCGGGCCGATGTGCGCAGCTTTCCCCGCCAACGGGCCAGCCTCTTCCCGTGCTGTCCTCCAGCCCCTCCCAGCTGCAGGCCACTCACACAAGCCTCACTCGTCGCTCTCCCTGTGTTCCTTCGGCTCAAAGGAAAGCATAAGATTTGCCAGGTTTCCCCAGTCTTACACTGACTAGAGGGACCTTTATACTCTTCACTGTACATTTCTTTAATCTCCTACTCACAGCCTCTTTAGAGGTCTCATAAAGCATCTCCCTGCCCCCCACAGAGGAATGGCTGTCCCAGGCCCCAGCACATACAGGAGGTCACTTCTAGAACTCTCTGGAGCCTGGCCTCCCTTGTCATTAAGAGCTCCAGGACACTGGCTTCTGTCTGTTTCTGGCTGAGAGAGCATTCCTGAAAATAAAGCCAGTCACAGCATAAACTCCTTCCCCTACGACCCTTAGGGACATGCCCTAGGATCACGACCCTCTTTGTTCCTTAGAACCCTTGTCTGGTCCCTCCTGACCTAGGTCATGGGCTTTCATTTCCAAAAACGTTCACAAATGAAGGGGCCTCTGAGATGATACCATCTAGTGCATCCCACTCTTGTTGGGCACCTGCTCTCCTCCAGGCTCTGTACTGGGCCTTTTCACGTACGTTATCTAATTCAGTGTTTACAGGAGCCCTATGGGGTAGGTTCCCATTTTACAGATAGACACAGAGAGGTTGAGTCACTTGCCAGAGTGGTGAAATCAGGACTTAATCAGGCCCATCTGGTTCCAAACCATTTCCTGCATTGTCCCAGCTGAGAAAGCATGTTCCCAGTTGAGAAAAACATTTTTCCCAGCTGTGGCCAGAGGGGCTCCACTATAGGTATAAAAATAGTGGATTTACCATATTTAAAAGATGACACACAGCTAATAAAAAGGCGAGAAGGCAGGATTTAAAATCAGGTTTGTTTGTTCCCTCCGTGCTGCTTCCTGGAGGGTCATGACACTGTGTCTCCTGCCAGTGCACGATGAGCCCTTTCAGGAGAAAGAATGACGCTGCTTCCCGGGCCCAACCAGATGTTCATGCCTCAACCTCCTGCAGACAGGAACGTGGCAGAAGCCCCATTCTTAGAACCTGGCAGCAAGAGCAGAGCAAGACTTGCCGCCAGGCTAGCCCGAGGGGGAGCCACCTCGGCTTTGGTGCAGCCCTGTCTGTGTGGGGGAGGAAGGTGACAGGAACCCTGGTGGGTTTACACGGTTCTCCCTCCCCTTCCTGAACCCTTTGCAGTATTCTGTTTTTGTGAAGAAACAGTGCATTGACTTGGGAGTTAGTCATGGTTCATCCCATTTGCCTTTTCCCTGGCCTCTCAAACCACAAGCCTGGCTGAGGAATTTGGGTCCACAGTGTGGGCTTTGAATAGCTTTGTGTAGGGAGAGGTTTTGCAAAGAAAGGAAAGTGGTATCTACTTGTCAGATGGAATGTGTTAAGACATCAAGGAGGAATGTGAGGGTTTTAACTGTTAGGGTCCCTCAGCAGTTTGGGTGATGAGTCATCCAGCGTGGGTACGGATTCCTAACAAATGAAGCCTCGTGATGACATCATTGTTGCAAGATTGTCTGGGATCTGTTGGAGCCGCCTGACAAGTTTGTACCTTGGGGATTTTCATCACATGGGGTTTTTTCCCAACCACACTTAATAGCCGTCATGCCTTCTAACTCGTCCATTTTTCTATCAACTAGAATTTGGCAAACCAGGACTTTCGCAAGTCTGTCTCATTGTCATCCCTCCTACAGGGCATTCTTGGGACAGTGTGTGTTCCTCGCCTGATCACTCAGCACCCGCCCTCCAGACAGTCCTCCATTCGGTCAACACGTTTTTCAGCGGTGAACCCACATTGTGCTGGTCTGAGGGGATGGAGGTTTGAGAGGATGAAGACTAAGGAGGAGGGCAGGAGCATGCAGGAGGAAAACACAGGGCTGTATATGTGGTGCCAGTCAGTAACTACGTGATGACTAAGTTAATACCTTGTCGGAGTCTTAGAAGATGAGTAGGAGTTAATCTAGGGAAGAGTCCAAGTGAGATATTTCCATGAATGAAGACCAAAGATGCCAAAGGTGAACAGGAAAGTGTAAGACGTGAAACCGGGCAAGTGTGCTAGAGAACCTCACGTGCCATGCTGAAGAGCTGAAATTTTATCCTAAGAAAGATGAGAAACATTCCAAGGACTACAGCAGTGTGGAGGCTGGGTTGGAAGGGGCCGGACTGGAGGCAGGGAGACTAGTCAGGGAGTCGTGTGGTCCTCTAGAGGTGATGGGAGCAGGAAGTAGGATGATGGGAGGAGAGGGTGGAGATGAGAGGCTAGACTTGAGAAACATCTAGGATTTAAACTTGGCAACCTGTGACTCATTAGTTATATGGGAGGAGACATGCAGAAGACCCCCAAACTGGCAATGCGGAAAAGACAAGAAGGGGCCTGCGTTCCGGCAGAGGTGTGAGCGCAGTTTGGGCCTGTTGAGTTAGAGTTGCCTGCAGGGGACTGAGGCTGGCTAAGCAGACTCAAGGGTAGTTAGATATGCGAATCTGGAGACGGAGGAGGATGCGCTAAAGGTACTGACTTAGGACTCATCGCGATCATAGCAGTTGAAACTAACCACACAGCAGTAGAGGCACCCTGGAAATTGTGGGGAATGAGAGGGATGGCGGGCCGGGGACAGAAGGCAAGGGAACACCAATATTGTTAGTGCAGGAGAAGGAAAAGGGCCCCATGACAGAGACAAGGGAGGGTCAGAGAGACACGGGACCCAGGAGGATCCCTTGCCACTCTGTGCTTCTCCCCCTCCTAAACCTTCCACGGAAGCCCTACGGCTGCCATTCGTCCTAAATAAGCTCCTTTACATCCTTGACTCCCATTCGGCCTTTGCAGGTGAAAGCTGCTCCTGATCCCAAAGCCCGTTGGCCGCAGCTTCCAGCCTTCCCTCCTCGACCCTCCTGTAGGGAGTCCTGCATCGTCAAGGCCCATGCACTTTACTTGCGATGCCTGGACCTCCTTTCCTGATCATTCCGTTCATCTCCATCACCATTCTTCCCTCCACCCCATCCTACAGTCATCCTATCAGATGACTCCAGTGCCATGAGGATGCCCTCACTTCCAGTGACTCTTCAACCTCCACGCCAGACTCCCACCTCCACGAGACTCCCAGGAAATGGCTAATACCTGCACCACTCCCATTATGTGGGAATAAGCCTCACGTCCCACGCTCTGACCACAACCAGCTCTCTCACCTCTTCTCCTGCCCTTGTTCTCACTGTCCTCCTAGTTCCCTCTGTTTTCTTCTGACCTGCTGACTCCCTCCTGACCTCCCCTCCTTCCTTAGCCAGGTTAGACTATCTGGTTGTTCATCTGAGATGGTCTTTCCTGAAATTCTTTCCCCCACACCTGCCCAGGGCAACTCAAGGTCCCATTCTCTTACCGGCTCCTGCCCCAAGAACACTGAGGAAAGTGGGATCCTAGACAGAGGGACGTCATTAGAGATTCACCGTCTCCACTCTCCCCTCCCTGTCATTCTTCACTGCAGTAGAAAACCTAAGCCTTCCCGTGGGGAAATAGGAAAATTCAAGCAGTAGCCAAAAGCCCAATCTCTCTCTCCCAAAATAGCTTCCGCACCTGCTCTGTTGCTGGATGTCCACACAGATGTCCTTGGAACAACTCCTGACTGCCCTTTACCACCTTTATTTTTCCCTTGGGCAAGTTTTTTAACCTCCTTGAATCCGAGTTTCCTCAGTTTTCAAATAAGGACCCTCCAGTGTCACTGCCAACCTCCATGGCACTTTGTGCAAATTAGAAGGTGCCCCTTTGGCCAGGCACACAGCTTGATGAGCAGAGCACGGCCTGTGGACCCATGGTCGCCCCCTCACCTGGACGCCCTTGTGTAGTGCCACCTTGCATCACCATACACTGCAGCCCCAACCACGCCTACCTCTCTACAGGCTCTGGTGAAAGAAAGGCAATGATTCGCACAGCGCACAGCCAAGAGCCTGACTGAGCAGAACTTGGGACAAAGGAGCTAACGTTGACCACCTGGACGTGGCTCAACATGCGGGTGTGCTCTGCTGTGGTGGCACCATCCGCCACTTTCAGGCACTTCTGCCAGCTCCATGAGCTGGAGCTATCAGCCCGCCCCCATCTCTCGTCAAGAGAGCAGAGCCCTGGGGCCCCGGGGTGCTCAGTCAGTTGAGAGTCCGACTCTTGATTCCAGCTCAGGTCCTGATCTCAGGGTTCGTGAATCGGAGCCCTGCATCAGGCTCTGCGCTGGCAGCGGGAATTCTCTCTCCCTCTCTCTCTGCCCCTCCTCCACTCTCTCACTCACTCTCTCTCAAAATAAGTAAACATTAAAGAAAAGAGAGAGAGAGGGAGTGCAGGGCCCTCAGAGACTGGATGGGAGCTGGTAGGTGAGGGAACAGACCCTTGGTCATAGCCAAGGGCTCCAGGTGGGCAAGGGGCAGTGGGAGGGAAGAGAGTTGGGACAGTCAGACAGAGAGGATGGTCTGAAGGGGGAGCAGAAGGGAAATGAGCAGCAACCTCCTGAAGGCAACAGCGCCTCAGGCACTAGGGGCAAAGGCTGCCCACCCCAACCCCACACCCCAACTCTGGGGTGCCGCCCTTGGCTCCCACCTCTCACTTGGGGACCTCTTACTAGCTGCTCAGGAGTGTCCTGCTACCTACCCCACCAGCCCCGCAGATTGCCTGGGCCCCTGCACCCGCCCACCCCACTGGAAGGTCGGGTGCGCCACAAGCCATGTCTGGCTCTCTTTTCACTGCACTGCCTCCATGGGTACCACAGACCAGGACTTCTCCAGACCCAGGAGTGCAAAGGCCCTCAGGAGAGCAGGAACCTCGGAATGCCACATCCATCCTGTAAGAGCAGCTCTTCAAGAGGAAATCGCTGCGAGAAGGCAACGAACGGTAGCCACCTGGGTATTTTTGTTGAAGAAAGACGAATTATGCCATGACCCCTTCTAGCACAAAAATAATTTTCAGTAAAAGGTTAAAACCGTCATGTTGTATCAATGAGAACTGTTCCATTATTCCAAGAATGATTGATTGGAAAGTACTTTACTTACAGGAAAATCAAAGTGATACAATGCAGCTTCCACTTTTAAAGTACTTTCCATTAAAAAAAAATCATACCAGTGTATAAAAATAGTTATACTGAAGATGTGAATCAACAGCCGAGGAATTTATTGGCACTTGAAAGCCTTGTGATATAAATAGATTCAACAATGAGAATGAATCTCAAATAACTCTGGGCTGTGGCAACCTAACCTCCATTTTCACTGACACGAAAGAAAGTCACATGTAGTTCAGTGAGTCATCTGGCCACCTTGGAAGAGATCACAGGAAAAGAACACAATGGAACTAGGTCCAACAGGCCAGGTCAACTCAAAGCACAGGGTGAGGCAGTGGGGGAGACGGAGGGGACAGCGATGTGGTCTCTGTCCTCAAAGAGTTTTCAGACTGCCCCAGACTGTGGGCCTATACACAAAACAGCCACCAGTACTGTGTCCTAAGAGAAGGACAAAGGAACAGGAGATAGTAGGGAGAGAGACTCTTTTGAACTTGGTGATTTCCTTCCTTCTCTCCCTGCCTCCACAAACGGTTACTCTGTGGTGTAACGGGAACAGAGCACGGAGTCCACTGGGGCCGGATGTAAGCTGCCACTCTGCCACGTACTAGCTGTGTGACCCTGGACAAATTATCTAATGTCTCTAAGATTCTGTCCCCTCAAGTGTGACAGGGGGCAGGAGGCTGTTGTTGTAAAGATGAGATGAGGCCAGTCGTGTGTGTATGGAAGCACCCAGCTTTGCTGCGTCCTGAGGCAGAGCAAACGATAAAAGATCACTCCCTTCCCTACCCTTCTCCTCTGTGAAGGTTAAGTAGTACTCACTTTTGTGCCCCTTTCATGCTTACATTTCTAAGAGCTTTTCCATCATTGGATATAATGTGATTTTCAAGGTAGTATTTGCTGGTCTTCATGTCTTTTGAGTTCATGGCCCCTGTCCTCCAAGAATTTCCCTCCTTCTTTGTGTCTGGGGACTCAGAGAGCCAGCTGCTGCCCTCTTTGTAAAGAAGAACATGAAACACCCCCCCCCCACCTGCCATGTCCCTTCTGGTGAGAAGGTAGCTGAGATCTGGCCCATCAGCAGTCATTAATTGAGCATATAATGCTTTTAAGGATTATAGAACTCTGAGGAGTCAAGGAAAGAACTAGACAAGATTTCTGACCTCTCATCAGACTTTAACATATGGGTATCACCTCAATCAAGGTTCTTGGTTGAAAACAACAGACCAGTTGTGGTACTGGGATAAGGCCCTGGATGCTGTCACCACAGTGCTGCCACTCACATCTTGGAACTCAGTTTTTCTGCGGCCATTGTCACAGCCAGAAAGTTCCTATCAGTCCCCTAGACATTCAGGTGGATGTCACTGCCTAGGCCTTAGTTGCAAGGGAAACTGCCTTGATGAGATGAGTATTCTCAATACAGGAAGGAGCACCTCTCAATTCAGTTCACCCTGGCTTGGAGTAGATGTCCATTTAATTAAGAAAAAGGGAAACTATTCACAGGCTGAAATTGGCTCATTTGTAAATTCATAAAGAGTGGCTGATGTGGATTTTTAAAACTTCTTTAGTAAAATTTCTTTTATTAAAAACATTTTGGGGCGCCCAGGTGGCTCAGTCGGTTGGGTGTCCGACTTCGGCTCAGGTCACGATCTCGCGGTATGTGAGTTCGAGCCCCACGTCGGGCTCTGTGCTGACTGCTCAGAGCCTGGAGCCTGTTTCAGATTCTGTGTCTCCCTCTCTCTCTGACCCTCCCCCGTTCATGCTCTGTCTCTCTCTGTCTCAAAAATAAACGTTAAAAAAAAAATTTTTAAAAAAACATTTGAATGAAATGTTTGCTTACTTACAGAAAAGTTATAGCACTCCTATATACTCTACAGAGTTTCACCAGTTATTAGCATTTTGTCACATTTGTTTTTGTCATTGTTTTTTGAGAGACTGAGCTTGTGAGAGGGGGACGGGCAGAGAGAGAGGGAGAGAGAGATCTTAAGCAGGCTTCACACCCAGCACAGAACCCGACATAGAGCTCGAGCTCATGACCATGAGATCATGACCTGAGTCGAAATCAAGAGTCGGATGCTCAACTGACTGAGCCACCCAGGCACCCCTTGTCATATTTGTTTTATTGCTGCCTCTCAAAGTACATAAATATGCTTTTTTATTTTTGGATGAACCATTTGAGAATAAGTTGCAGACATCCTGACTCTTTACCTCTTACTAATTCAGGATATATCTCCTTGGAACAATGACATAATAAAACTACAATATAATTATCAAAGTCAAGACACTTAACACTGAAATAATCCTATATGCACAATCCAATAATGTCTCAGTAGTGTTTTTTATAATTTTTTTCAGTCCAGGAGACAATCCAAGATTATTTAAGGAATTTAATTGCCATGCTGTTTTAGGCTCCTTTAATATGAAACAGGTCCTCAACCTTGTCTTTCATGATGTTGATCAGTTTTGAAAAGCACAGGCTCGTTGTTTTGTGGAATTTTTCTCAATATAGGTTTATCCAGCACTTCCCCATGATCCGAGTTAGTAAATCTTGTAGGCAGAAACACTGCACAAGTGACATTACGTCCTTGTTGAGGCCCCACGCTCAGGAGTATGTGATGGCAGTTTGTCATATTGGTTTGTTGCTGTCTTCATCAAGGTGGCGTCCACCAGGTTTCTCCACTAAAGAGCTATTTGTTATTAATAGGTAATCTGTATGGAGATACTTTCAAACTTGTAAATATTGTGTCCTCATCAAACCTTACTCCAGCAGTTTTAATGCATCCATTGATGATTTTTGCCTGAATCAGTTATTACTATGAGAGTTGCAAAGTGGTGATTTTTCAAACTTCTATATTTACTAATTGGCATTCTATTTTAAGGAAGTTCTCCCTTCTTCATTATTTATTTTTTTCATTTATCTGTTTAAAATCAGTATAGGGGCACTTGGGTGGCTCAGGCAGTTAAACGTCTGACTTCAGCTCAGGTCATGATCTTGCAGTTCGTGAGTTCGATCCCTGAGTCGGGCTCTGTGCTGACAGCTCAGAGCCTGGAGCCTGCCTCAGATTCTGTGTCTCCCTCTCTCTCTGACCCTCCCACCCCCTCTCTCTCCTCAAAAAATAAATATTAAAAAAATTTTTTAAATAAAATAAAACCAGTATAGACTCGTGGATTCTTTAATAAATTTTCAAGTGATCATTAACATCCATTATCCATCCCTTCTATAAATTATACACTTCTGCATTTGTGGATGGGTCAACCTAATTGCAAGCAGATTTCTTTTTTGATGTGGACTTGAACATTTAATCTATACCTCACTATTTACAGAGACAAACAGGAAATAGAAAACTGAATTTTTATGGGGATTTTGGGTTGAACACATAGGTTATCAAGGTGTTTTTGAGTAGCTGTGGCAAAATGGGCTACCCTGAGAAAACATAAG